GGCGGGAGTGGCCAAAGGATGCAGTGGTAGACTGGAGGGGGCAAGTCATACAGTGGTAGACTGGAGTGGCCAAGTCATACAGTGGTAAACTGGAGTGGCCAAGTCATACAGTGGTAGACTGGAGTGGCCAAATCATGCAGTGGTAGACTGGAGTGGCCAAGTCATACAGTGGTAGACTGGAGTGGCCAAGTCATACAGTGGTAGACTGGAGTGGCCAAGTCATACAGTAGTAGACTGGAGTGGCCAAATCATTCAGTGGTGGCTGGAGTGGCCAAGTCATGCAATGGTGGCTGGAGTGGCCAAGTCATACAGTGGTAAACTGGAGTGGCCAAGTCATGCAGGGGTGGCTGGTGTGGCCAAGTCATACAGTGGTAAAATGGAGTGGCCAAGTCATGCTGTGGTGGCTGGAGTGACCAAGTCATGCAGTGGTAGCTGGAGTGGCAAAGTCATACAGTGGTGGCTGGAGTGGCCAAGTCATACAGTGGTGGCTGGAGTGGCCAAGTCATATAGTGGTGGCTGGAGTGGCCAAGTCATACAGTGGTAAACTGGAGTGGCCAAGTCATGCAATGGTGGATGGAGTGTCCAAGTCATGCAGGGGTGGCTGGAGTGGCCAAGTCATACAGTGGTGGCTGGAGTGGCCAAGTCATACAGTGGTAAACTGGAGTGGCCAAGTCATGCAGTGGTGGCTGGAGTGTCCAAGTCATGCAGGGGTGGCTGGAGTGGCGAAGACATACAGTGGTGGCTGGAGTGGTGGAGTGGCGAGGTCATGCAGTGGTGGGTGGAGTGGCGAAGTCATGCAGGGGTGGCTGGAGGGGCCAAGTCATACAGTGGTGGGTGGAGTGGCCAAGTCATACAGTGGTAAGCTGGAGTGGCCAAGTCATGCAGTGGTGGCTGGAGTGTCCAAGTCATGCAGGGGTGGCTGGAGTGGCCAAGTCATACAGTGGTGGCTGGAGTGGCCAAGTCATACAGTGGTAGACTGGAATGGCAAAGTTATACAGCGGTAGACTGGAGTGAACAAGTCACACAGTGGTAGATTGGAGTGGCAAAGTCATGTAGTTGCGGACTGGAGTGGCCAAGTCATGCAGTGGTGGACTGGATTAAAAAGACACCAAGAATTTGATTCAATATAACAAGTATAACGTAAGCTTTGATAATAATTGTACAGAATACAAAAGTAAACGTTTCGGCACATAGCCTTCATCAGTACAACAAACAGACAAATAAGTATAAATTAAATTTACTTTATATAGATACATACACAGATCCTACCTAAAAAAGGGGGGCGGGGGGAGGGTTGGGAGTGGGCGAAAAAAACGCGACAGAAACAAAGCAAAGAAAAGTGGAAAGGAAGTGATTTGAACAAAATTTTAAAAACCAAACAGGCAAAAGACATGGTAGCTAGGTAAAATTGTGGATTTGGTTTATCCCATATGGAGACAACGTACCAAATCGTGTTATTAATTTATTCTCCATATAGACCCTATCTGTTGTGCTATTAGTATACAATATATCAGTAACTGCGAAGTCTGAGATGACCTCATGGTTAGGGCTATTGAAATGTTTGGAGACCGGACAGAGAGCTTGCTTATTTATGTTATAGAGGAGTTCTCTGAACCGGTCTCCAAGGCGACGACCTGTCTCGCCTACTTATTCTTTACCGCACTTTTTTGCAAATGATGGTTTTAATCACGTTGCGACTAGTGCAGGTAAAGCCATCTTTTATTATGACTATTTCCAGAGGGAAAGTGATCCTATCCACTTCAATTACATATGGACATGTGGTACAACGGCTATGGTTGCAAATGTTGGTGCCTTTATGTGCTTTGATTAGCAGGGAGGTGGCTTCCCTAAGGCTCTTGTCACTCCGGAACGTGAAAAGATGAGGTTTTCTAAAAAAACATGATTGGTGACCGGGACAAAAGTAAGAATTGAGCGGTTTTTCAGAACCAGAAAACGAGCTTTAAGTTTATGAGGATGAAAAGTTAAAATAAATGTAGACCTATCCATAGCGTCAGAATGAGTGGCTTTAAAAGAATCCTGTCTAGTCATACATTTAACTCGAGTGACAGCTGCTTTTAAAATTTGTTCAGTGGTTGGCTGGAGTGGACAAGTGGCTCGGCACAAATATCAAAAGCGATATTTTTAGACTGGGGAGGGTATTTGTTTTCAGCTATGCGTCACTGATAACCTTACAATGAGACAGTCATAAAACAATTATTACAATGAGACAGTAATAAAACAAGTATTACAATGAGAAAGTCATAAAACAGTTATTACAATGGGACAGTCATAAAAAAAGTCGAATAATTGAAAATCTAGTTTACAGTTACAAAATATATTAAGGACACCTGTAGATTTTAGAGTTACAAATAGATTTTTTTTCTACCAGAACCAAGGTCACGGGATTGTTATTGTATTAGCCAACTAGAGTTTAGAAATGTTAAACTCATTGGCCAATGCGTCGCTGCCTTGTTTCGTGATCTCGTGCTGGTTAAAACACTGTACATTTAACTGGATCGAAATTCAGTTCTCAGGAGGTAGTCGTGGTCAATACAACATTCAATTTGTTGGACTAAATCTTAAATACCTATATACTAATTCGATTATTGTCTTCATCAATTGTTACACTTGTATTATCTTTAATTAAAATGTCAAACAGAAAAATGTAATAATTTAGTTTAGTAGTATTATACAGTAGATACCTATACGAACCTACTAAAATACATATAGGAGCCTACAATAATACACATAGAAGCCTACTTAGATACACATAGTGGCCTTCTAAAATACGTATAGGAGCCTACTAAAATACATATAGGGGCCTACTAAAATACATAAATGGGCCTACTAAAATACATATAGGGGCCTACTAAAATACATAAATGGGCCTACTAAAATACGTATAGGGGCCTACTAAAATACATAAAGGGCCTACTAAAATACGTATAGGGGCCTACTAAAATACATATAGGGACTTACTAAAATACATAAATGGCCCTACTAAAATACTTATTGGAGCCTACTAAAATGCATACAGAGGCCTACGTATAGGGAGTTACTTCATACATATATGTGCCTTCTAAACTACAGAGTTTAACATAAACAGAGTTTAACATAAACAGAGTTTATCATAAACAGAGTTTAACATAAACAGAGTTTAACATAAACAGAGGTTAACATAAGAGATAATTTAGGACAGTAAAAATTTCCCAATTTAATGAGGTCAGTTTGTGGAGAGAGGAAAAAACACCCTTGACCTTGAACTCCAAAGTCCGGAAAGGGCATGATATTAACATTTACAATTTTGGTTAGTTGGGGAATAAAGCAAGGAATGATATTATCATTTACAATTTCGGTTAGTTGGGGAATGAAGCAAGGAATGATATTATCTTTTACAAATTCGGTTAGTTGGGGAATGAAGCAAGGAATGATATTATCATTTACAATTTCGGTTAGTTGGGGAATGAAGCAAGGAATGATATTATCATTTACAATTTCGGTTAGTTGGGGAATGAAGCAAGGAATGATATTATCATTTACAATTTCGGTTAGTTGGGGAATGAAGCAAGGAATGATATTATCATTTACAATTTCGGTTAGTTGGGGAATGAAGCAAGGAATGATATTATCATTTACAATTTCGGTTAGTTGGGGAATGAAGCAAGGAATGATATTATTATTTACAATTTTGGTTAGTTGGGGAATAAAGCAAGGAATGATATTATCATTTACAATTTCGGTTAGTTGGGGAATGAAGCAAGGAATGATATTATCTTTTACAAATTCGGTTAGTTGGGGAATGAAGCAAGGAATGATATTATTATTTACAATTTTGGTTAGTTGGGGAATGAAGCAAGGAATGATATTATCATTTACAATTTCGGTTAGTTGGGGAATGAAGCAAGGAATGACATTATTATTTACAATTTTGGTTAGTTGGGGAATGAAGCAAGGAATTTAATATAATCATAGAAGTAATAATTATTATTTTATTTTTATTTTATTTTATTTATTTTATTTTTTTTTTGGGGGGGGGGCGAAAATATTACTAAGCTGAAATCATGTCAGGAAACGACCAGAAGGCTACGTCCTGTGCCTGGTACGCTGTGTCTAATTAGAAATGATTTTGTTCACCTTAGAGATAAAGCGTTGCGCTATGGTTAAGACTTTCTATAAGTGGACAATCAAGGCAATAGCAGAGGGGCTCACGTCGTGACGAAACACGGGTCTGTGGAGAGTCGTGAACAAATAACCACAATGTTTAATCATAGTTGCCCCACGTCATGAACACAACCGTGTGACACATGGAACAGGGAACTGATTGATTGGGCTAGGGCTCATTTTAAAGGTGGGAGACCAGTAGGCTTGCTTCTTGTTTTAAAACCATTTCCAGAACCCAGGAATAAAATAATGATAATACCAGTGTTCCCCAGCGTTGACCAAAGGTTATGGTGGGAACCTAGTCTCTGAGAAAGGAAATGTATTTACGTTTCAAACAGGTGACGTAGTGGGAGTGGGGTGGGAGGTAAGTAACACAAGGCAAAATCGTATGTAAACCCATTTTTATATTTTGTCCACTATTGTTGTTTGTCAGTCATTATAGTACGAATTTCCCGTATTGTTGTAGTGTATATTTTAAGCTCTTAGCTTTTGAGGAAAAAAAAAAAAAAGGCGGGGCAAAAAAATTGCGTTACTTTTAGCTTGCAGAACAATGCCTTTCTTATCTACACAGCTCTATTTGTCCTAATGTCTCTATACGAAGTTTACATGTAGTCTTTTAGCTTGCAGAACAATGCCTTTCTTATCTACACAGCTCTATTTGTCCTAATGTCTCTATACGAAGTTTACATGTAGTCTTTTAGCTTGCAGAACAATGCCTTTCTTATCTACACAGCTCTATTTGACCTAATGTCTCTATACGAAGTCTACATGTAGTCTTTTAGCTTGCAGAACAATGCCTTTCTTATCTACACAGCTCTATTTGACCTAATGTCTCTATACGAAGTCTACATGTAGTCTTTTAGCTTGCAGAACAATGGCTTTCGTCAACTTCTTATGGCGAGCTAATTATAGTTTCAGTTTCGTTAACAAACCGAAAGTGTGTTCTTACAGAAGATCATGTTCTACGTCAGTTCAGTGACGAATGTTGCGCTACATATCGGCGAAGGGCGCATTCTTCGGGTTATTTCAAAACCTCATTGAGTTTCGTTATTTCTCAGAAGTATGACAAAGAGGAAATGATAAGAACAATTTGTGAAATTGGCAGGTTTTCCCCATTGTTCAAGGTTTCTGGTACTGGCTCGACGTCTTAGACCTTGACATTGCGAAACAGGTGTTGGGGGAGAATTGGGGGGGGGGAGGGGGGGCCAGAGCTTTTTGGTAGATAAAAAGGATGTTTGGTAATTTACTTTTGATCGATGGTGGAGGGAAGCTGAAACAAATACTAAGGACGGCGAACGCTTCTGTAAAAGGGGCTCTGTGAGTGGGACGCCAAATTGTTTGGATAGATTCACACACCTGATTGTAATCTTGGGGGGAAGCTGCACACCTTTAAGTTTAGGCACAAAATTTTGTTTTTAAAAAATCAGCAAAAAAATTAAAATCGTTTGAAATTGAATTTTTTTAAATATTTAAAATCCTGCCAAAATCTTTTCTATTCAATCATCTACTGACATCTACTGACATCTACTGACATCTACTGACATCTAATGACATCTACTGACATCATACCGACTGCGGCTGTCAGTAGCGTAGCTTGGGTTAGTCTTGCCACCCCCAACTTTTCCATGAAAAAAATTCTGCAGTTGAGGGGAAAACTCCGCCCCTCTATATAAAGAAAAAGGTCCCAAAATGGGGCTAACCGCCCCCTCCGCCCCTCCTTTTCTATACCCCTGGTAGCTGTAGTGTAATAACAGTGTTGTAACAATAAGAATAGTGTACGATCACTCTTATTTTTATTTAAAATTTTAAAATGAACGCTCCAATAAGAAATAATTCACATTTTACCCCCACACACATTTTGCCCCCACCCCACCCACATTTTACCCCACCCCACATTTTACTGCCACCCCACCCACATTTTACCCCCACCCCACCCACATTTTACCCCCACCCCACCCACA